GTCACGACATGAATATATCCTACTTTTTATTTTTAATATTACGACGATAAATAGTTAATAGACAATGAGATGAAGGATATGTATAGGCACATTCTTGTTTTTGGAGACGTGGGCATACATTTTTTGATTATCACCATTCGACCAGACTCTTGACGGTTTTTTTGTGCTTCTTTTTTTTCCTCTTTTTTTTTTCTCTGATGCGACTATGGTTGATTTCTTGCCTTGCTAAATGCACCTCAGCCGCAACGACGATGACAACGACGACAATGACTTTTTAGGCTGATGATGACGTGCATTGATGACGATGCTAGAGAAGAAGCAGTAAAAAAGAAGAAGGAGAAGACAGAAGAAGAATGCGATTATGATTATTTGATCGAGCTCGTTGTAGTTCTGTTAGTTATGGACGTGTAGTAATAGTAATAAAAGCGTTGTTATTGTGTGTAAATCGTCCTTGGTTTCTCTCTTTTCTTTATTTCCCATCCTGTCATTGTCTATATCTATCTAATAAACGACAGTTCATAGAATTAAACGGATCAAGCAGATCAGTTGTCTCCTTGTTGGTATTTAATTTTAATACATTTGACAAAAAATAATAATAATAATAATCCTACCTGCTTAAAAATCATTGACTTCAGAATATATGTTTGTCTCACATATACATATATTTATGGCATTAAAAATATCTATATACTTTTTCATATATTATTGTAGCAAAAACTAGATGTTAAATAATTTAAGCGAACAAAAAAATTGACTTTGTGATACATGTAATCGAATAAGTTTTAAAAGCAACAACAAGATATACAAACTTATATATAAGAGAAAAAAACTAAACAAATAAGTCTTGATTATTGAGATCGCTTCAATTCCTCTTTTTTTTCTCTGATACTCTTCAATATATGAAAGTATGTACATTTATAATATATTTATTAGACGATGATGATGAGTATTTACTCAAATTTTTATTGATGTCTAATACTCAAATGTCTATTGTAGATTCTTTTCTCTCGAAATATTTCTGTTTAAAGATGGATAAAGAAGTATGTAAATATATATATATATATACATCTATATATGTTTTGTATTGACATTTTTTGATACAACAACTGCAAGAGACAAGAGAAAATCTAATTAAAAAAAGTCAAATTTCTTAAATGAAATCTTTTTCTGTTTTCTATTCTCAACTTCCTAATCGGATAAACATGCAGGAAACGGAAGAAAAGAAAAATCTATTAACACAATATTCAATAAAAAAATTTCTTTCTATTATCATCTATTGTGTTAAATTTTCAAAAAAAACAAAACAAAAAATCTATCGTCGCCGTCGTTCTTTTTTTTTAATTAAAAATAATTTCCTTACTTCGTGTCTTCTTAATTGCGGACAAAAATCAAAACAATTAGAAGACCGACAGTGTGGGTGAGGGCTGTAATTTTGTCCGCAATCAAGCTGTAGCCTCCTTACTTACTATCTAAAAAAAAATTGACTTCTATTGACAGGCATGTATTATACGCATGTATTTGTATGTGTGGGTGTGTGTTGTAATAAATAAGGGAAGGAAAAAAAATACTAATTTTTTTTTACATTAATATTATTGTCATCGTCTCGACTACATTATGTGTTTTCATATAGATGATCAGTTGTATTTAGAGAACGCACGTAGAAGAAACAAAAGGCAAATAATTCGTAAAAAAAAAAGCTCATTTCTTTTTACCAATGAATGACAACACTAGGGTTTATTATTCAATGACGTCAATATGTCTCTACATAATTTGAGCACTCGTGATAATAATTAGAACCGAAAGGTTACTTTTTTTTTTGTGACAAAGGAAATAGAACTCAGTCAAGCAATATTAATATACAACCGTTATTCATACTTATTAATTGTATACAAGGTTTTTTAACCTTTGTTCTATTATTTCTTTGTTTTTCAAAAGTAATAATCATAATAAATGAAGAACTTAAATGAATAAAAAGAATATTTCTATTCATACTATAGAGGTAATAATAGGCAACAACAGGATCATGTGTCTTGTTTTTTTTTCAAACCGCATGTGCTTGCATGTGAACGCACTTTTTTGCTTTGTACTGTATTCATTCCGATGACATGATTTCCTGAGCGCACACATATTAAAAAAATATAAAAAAAGACCAGGAAGAGAGAGAGAAGAAGAGCAACGATAGAGCAATGAAGTATACTCGCTACTAAGAAGAAAAAAAAGGAGAGCAATGATGATGATGACTTGTAGTACACAGTACTCATCTATACTGATATTGTTAGAAAAATACTACAAACGGCAAATGATGAAGAAGGAAGAAACGATGAGTGAGATGTCTTCGAGGTATGATTCTTTAACATCGAGGGTTGGATGTTAAAAAGATGAGCAAAACAAAAAAAAAAATAAAAACAAAAAGAGATCAACATTTTGTGATGAATATAATCATCTTTATATGTCGACGTAAAAATACGTTACCAATGATTGACATCGATAGTATTTTCATTTATTTTTTCTAATCAAAAGATTATTGATAGCTAAATATATGTCAGAACGACATGAAAAAAGAAAACTAATATATAAATAATAAATTATTCTTTTGAATCTCGATATTATTTTTATTTATTTATTTTTTATCAAAAGAAAAATGACAACAAAAGATTTCTTTTTCTAAATGTTCATTAAAAAGAGATCAAAAGCATGTTGACAGCCAGGTCGCTAAAAAAAAAAAAGAATCATTCAACTGATAATAAATATACAATCAGTTCAGGTATCACTTAAGATAGTTAATTATGTCAACATGAAAGAAAAAAATAGCAAAAAAAAAAAAATTGCTCTACATAAAATAAATTCTATCATAAGAAAAAAAGAATAAAACAACACAACAGGTGTTGAAATTCTTGAATAACTTGAAACCTGATGTGTTTACATGAATAAGTACTTTGCATTTCTTGGTACTTTTTATTAGACTTTTTTAAATGAAAACCAATAAGAGCTTAATATTGTTGTTTGTTAAATGAATAACAAAAGTAACTAATTGAACCATTATTATAGATAAGAATTTAATTATTCTCCCATTAGAATTCTCTAATTACTTGAAGAAAATAAATAATAGATGACAGAAAATTCTTTTGTACTGATAAATTTTATCTTGAATAATCATTTTTTTTTTATGCCAGCAAATATCAAATGAATAAATTCTACTTTTATATTAAAAGATTTATTTTCTACAGAGAATAAAAACAACAGTTGTAAAACACGCTCTCGGTTGACCTAACTTTTGATATTATTTGATTAATCATTATTTTTTATTTATCTATTCTAAGACGATCGAGAGTGTAAAAAAACAATGTAATAAATCAATTATCGATCTAGAAATCCGGCAAAGGAAACAAGTCAGATTAAAGACTATTTTAAAGGTCTATCAAATTCAGAACATCATTAAATATATTTGTAAAATACGACTCAAAAAAAATTATTCTTGTCAAAATCATTTTTTTAAGACTATACATTTGACTAATTGTCATGTTATATCATGATCGAACAAGTTCATCGTTTGATAAATTAATCTCAATATGATTTAATAATAACATATATATATATACTTATATGAAATTTCTATAAAGATCAAATGTTCGATTACAACATGAGTTAGCTAATAGAAAGAATATATAATAGCAGATATAAGTTGAGAGTAGTTGTATTTTTAAGTTTTCTTCTCAATGTTATTAGTTAGCAATAGTCTAAAACAAAACATTTGTGTAGCTAAAAGGATTCCATATTAAGATTGGTAGGTTCGAAGAATTCAACATAGCTGCTTGGTTGAAGGTCTGCGGAAAATCAAGACCTTCCGTCCCCCCCTTAAAAAGTATTATTTTATAGAGTAAATAATTCTAAGCAAAATGAGACATCTCAGATTTCTTCATGATTGTCCTTCATCGAACCAAATTTAATTTTCAGAAGATTCAAGAAGAATTAACGTTTTGGAGCCCTCTGAAAATTGAATCCAGTTCGATGAAGGAAGATCATTAAGAGATTCGAGATGTCTTAGTTTGCTCAGAAACATTTGCTCTATCAAATAGAACATTGTTCCAAAAGCTTCAAATGAAAGCCAGAAAACTAGTTTTTCGTAGATCCTCATCCAAGCAATTTTGCTGAAGTCTTCGGCTCTACCCATCCCAATAGAGAATCCTTCCAACTAGACAAATGTTTTTTTCAGATTTTTACTAGCTATTCATATCGTGAAGAAAACTTTAAAATACAGCTGTTCTAACCCTTTGTTTGTCACTTAATTTCTTACGTTGATTTTGTAGAAAGAATGATCATACAGAAGTTTTCCTTTTAATAATACTCATCAAATGTATGTATTGTATATTAAGAAAATTGCAGAAAAAAAATAGAACGTAGTCAATATATAAGACGGGTCCAAATGTCATCCAAGTGACTAATAGTTTTTCATTAGTTATTTAGAGATCTACATCGGAGTCAACTAAATATCTCACTAATAAATCAAATTTAGTACAAAAGATTTTTTGAACTGTAGGTTTTATTCTTTGATATTTACTGTACAAGATGATATCTTTTCGAAATTCAATTAATATATCTTTGATGTTCACATCCATGAGGAGTCGTAAATCGAGCCTCCAAAATATATCAGTTTGTACAATGCATATCAAAGAATAAATTTCATCATTCAACAAAAACCTGTCGTGCTCAAGCCAATTTTCTGATAAGCACCTTAAAAATGACTCCGATTCAGGTCTTTATTTTTCTTCTCAGGACAAATATAAGAAAGATGAAAAGTTTAGTTTTTGTTTTTATTTAATATTTATTTTTCATATCCTAATAAATCATTTTTATTAGTGGTGGCATTGAACTCGTCAGTTTTGTTTTTATTTCCTATTATGAAAATTAACATATATTGAAAAGTTCTCATGTATATTAAAAAAGATGACATGGTGTTCAAAAAATAAAAATAAAACATAACAAAATAGAAATATTTGAATTTAATTCACTTTATTCATATACGTTATAATATATTCTGGATAATTTTGATCATCATGAAATGTACAAACAATTGTATATGGAATTGTCTCATCAGTTGTTGAATCTGCTTGAACGCGTTTTGCATCTGGTAAAACAATTGTCGGTGGTACACGAATATCATTACTACCAGGTGTATGATGACCAACAAGTACACGACATAAAAAAAGAAAAGATAAATCTTGACGGTCGCTATAATGACACGAATAACATGCATAACGACTAAAATAAACACCACGACCATAATAAACATAATCACGACAATATGAACGATTAAAACCATGTGACATGATATGATGATGATTATCAGACTTTGTTCCATGAAAGAACCAATTTTCATTAAGATTTTTAGGTCCATTTTTTCGTCGCATATATGAACGATGTGAACAAAATTTTTCCCACAAATGAGAATTTTGTATACGTTCAATCTAAACAAAAAATAAATAAATAAAACAAATTTTATTTCGTATTCTTATAAGACATTGTAGATTTTCAAGTTTTTGATATAACAGTAAACGAATTTTTAGCTTTTAGAATGCATCGATAAATGTAAAGTAATGATGAAAAAAAAAAAATTAAAAACAATATTATTTCTTTTCATTCTATTTAAAAAGAAGAGCTAAGCAAATTTTAATGATTGATATGCTTAGACAAGATTTATTATCACGAAATCCATATATAGAAAGATTCCGCTGGCGTTAGTTTCTATATCACAATTAAACCTTGCTTTTTTTTCTCCAGGATAAAGATGTTTAAAAATAAATAAAATACGTTCGTGTGTTATCATGCTTTATTTAATACGACAGATAAATAATTCTGTTAATAAAGACGTTTTCTAAAAAGAGTAGAACGTGCCTGACACAATAGATTAATCTACTTTGACAAATCTTCATCTTACAGTACTTAAAAAGTTCTAATTTTGAAATCTAAAGAATCATCCAAATGATTGTCATGAAAACTTTCAGTTCTTCGTAGGTACAAGACACAAAATTCGTATGAAAATACACGACTGAAATATTTTCAGTATGAATAAAAGTTCTTCTGCATTGACTGTAATGAGTTTTTCATTTTAATAATAACATCAGATGGTTTCATTATTGAAATCATTTGTGTCAATTTTTTAAGACCGTATAATTATCTGTGTCATTCAGCTTGAAAGAATGCAAAATTCTCTAGAAAATGATGAATATTGAGACTATCAAATATGTCAACACAAAATTAGTATAATCAATCTTTTGAGGAAATGCATCATATTCAACTTCCACAGTAAATTTAATCTGAGAACAAGCGAATTCTTTCATAAACACAGAAAGAACTAATAGACTTCTGTTGGGTTGACATGTCTGATAGACTTAAAGCACATAATTTTGCGCTGTATTCGACTCAATGACAATGTTAATTATAGGGTGTCGAAAATGGACACGAATGGTCTAAATAGTGAAACCACCCAGTATGACTGTAATAATGAAAAATTTATCACAGTCATTGAAGATGAAATTTTATTTATACTGAAAATATTTCGATCATCTACTTTGACCCAAACTTTGTACTATATAACTAAAAAAACGGGATTTTTTAAAGAGAGCCTTACAGATGATTCTATAGATGTTCGCGTTAGGACTGTTTAGATATTCTAAGATGAAAATTTGACATAGTAAATAAATGTATTGTGTGAGATACATCTTGCTCTTCTAACGGATATATTTCGCCTAGGGAAATAAAGTTTATTTGTGATAGAGAGACTAAAGTCTACGAAGTCTTATTATACACCTGGTGACCATAAATCCTGTCTAAGTATATCAATCATTAAAACTTTCTTAGTTCTTATTTTTAAATAGAATGAAAATAGAAATAATGTTGTTTTTAAATTATTTTTCATCACTGTATATTTTCATTGTATATGATCGATAGAAGTTATTTCCTAGATCAATCGATTTAGATTTATTCTAATTAAAAACTTAATAAACGAAATAATAAAATTCTAATGCGAGAAAGATTGTTTATCGAAAGACAATGATTACTCCATACAAAAATGATAGAAATTTTTATAAGCTTTGTTTATTTTATTTTTACTTCATTTCTTTCATGAACTATTCAATGTTTAGTAGACAAAGCAAAAGCATGTAAGATAAACTAAGAAATTTTATAGGATTTAATATGTTTCAATAGTTAAATGTATTCGAAAACGAAAAGTTTTCTCATTAATATTGTTCTATTTTATTAGTTTTTGTATAATTAAAATTAAAATTAATACTTACAAATGCAATTTGAATATCTTTTTCAGAAACTGTTTTATTAAATAATCGTTGAACAAATGAAAATTCTGGTGAATTTGTGTCAAGTGTAATTGCTTGAAATAAAGCCTCACTATTTTCATTTATATGATCATCACCTGTCCAAAATGTCGGATATTTTTGACTATAAACCATATCTAAAGACATGAAAAGAAAAAATGTCCATTGTATTTTGCTTTTGTGTGTATAAACTATTTATTGTTTGACTTACTACTATCATATGGATAGACAATTGGTAATGAATGATAAACTTGAAAAGGAAGTGGAAATGGTAGCAATGATCCATTTCTTCCTCCTATTGATCCATTTAACTTAAATCCGACAGTCGAAGAAGTATTAGTTGGTGCTTGTTGTACAACAGATTTCATATGAGATGTATTCTTCATATTCATAGAATAATCAATAAAACGAAGTTCTTCAGGTGAAATATTATGCTTAGCATATTGATCAACAGTTAGTATTGAATTATATGCTGTTGTTGGAGTTAAAAAATATTGAATTTTAGGTAAAAGTTGAAAAAGTATACCGACATTATTTTCATTATTTGTATGAACAATTGTATAAGATGAAATTGATAATTTTGTTAATAATGATAGAGAATTTATCATTTTTGATGAACGTGTTTGTATAAATGTATTAAATGATGATAAACATTTATGCATCTCATGTGTTAATATTGATTTATATTGTTTCTAGAAATATAAATCTAAATTTCATGAATATATTGAAGATATTTTGTTGTTTAAATGAAAATTTTATTAGATTCTTACCGCTGTTTGAGACGAATAGAAAATAAACCCTTCGAGTATAATAATGAATATACGATAATTTAAATTAGTACATAAATCTTTGAATGTTAATTGAAACAATTGTTGATTATGAAGACGATATTGATCAATTTGATTATTTGTACAACCATTTACAACAGATGACTAGTTATATAAAAATAAAATTTAGTAGAGAAACTATAGAAAAGAATTTAAAATACCAACATAATATAGAGGATATTCGTCATCCAAGCGTACTTCGGCTATCATAGATGAAGATGATAATGATGACGGGATTATGGAAACTAAATAGAAATTTTAAATTAATTTAATTTTTTTAGGGAAATTTCAATAAAACAAAAAAAACAATTGTCATTATTCATTTTAACAGGGACGTTCTAAAGCGGCCGGGATTGGCTAGTAGGGTACCTCCTTGATCCTTCCTTCCGCTCGGAACACTTTCGCCTTTCAGATGAAATCGATGTTCATAGAAAATACATCAAGAAATGTAATTGAATCATTCTTTTTATTTAATAGTAAATTATTTTCTAGAGAAGACATAATAGTGCAAATGGATTTTTATTTTTGACTAATGTTTCTAATTGGTTATGTAACAATTATATTCATTCATAGAAAAATTCAAAAATACAAACAGCTAGAGAGAATAAGATATTCATCATTAGTGATAATAATATTCTATCATTGACAATATGAAAATCGATAGAGTAGATTACTCAAATGTATCCTGATTTCGATCTTAAAATTTTCATGAGAAATTATAAATTTTTGTAATATAAGTCAAAATATCAGTAGATTTAACCTATGAATTAGAGATATAGAGAATTACCCTACTTTACAGTTTGCACGGGCATAGCCAGAAGGTGAAAGGAGTGCACGTGCACTCTACTCAACCAAAAAACGTCTGGGCAGGGGTAGGGATAAAAACCTTTTCGCAAAAGAAAAAAACATCATTTTCCTGCTAGTGTGCATCCCCTTTGGAAAATTTCTGACTACGCCCCTGTAGACTGCAAGGTAGGATGAGAGTTAGAAATTTTTTTCCCAGTCACGATACAGGGTACGAAAAAAAAGCTTACTCTGCACATCTCTATTATGTATGATGTTGTTCTATCCAATTGAATCTAACATCATGAAATTTTCGAAGTACTATTCACTGATTGGGAGAGTATCTTCAATAGGAAATATAGTCTTTCATATCGATTAATACTTTCTATTTCAATTGTTTTCTGATAGTAAAAATTCTAGATCATTAAGTTTCAGGGATATGGATAGGGAAGTTTTTTTTTTTGTGTAATTTCGAAAAACAAAATCATTCTACTTTTAATAAAAGAACAATAAACATGTATTTTAAAATACCTACGTACATTGTTCATATTTCTGAATTGCTTTGTGAAGATTAACAATTGATTGTATTAAATTATCTAATTTATATACATAACGTTGTGATAATAACCATCGTTGTTCCTACATAAAAAAGAAAAGAATAAATTTAATTTCGAGTTTGATTAAATTATTTTCTTTTTTTGAATGTAATAAATAAATTTTACCTCAAATGAAACATGAATTGATTGAAGATCAAATGATGGATATTCCACACTAGTATTCATTGGATCGGTCATTATCTTAAAACGAAAATAAATCCAGTAAACTTTATCAAAAAAAAAGAATGAAAGTTTCGTCTGAAGTAATATAGTGTCAATATATGTAAGAAAACATGACGTCATATTTTGTTCTCACACTAGAGATTGGTTTATAATAACCAATGAATCTTATTTTAAAAGCAAAATAGAGGATTTGTTAAGGTAACTTGAATAAAAATGGATTCAAAATAGATTCTTATTATTGAAGTACAAATAAAAAGAAATTTTTATATTAATCAAAAATCGTCTTCTTCTTTAATGGCAACAACAGCAAAAATGAAATCTTTACCAAATATTCCCATTCCGGATGTAAAAGAAAAATGCAACATTACTATTATTTTTTTTTTCTTACTATATAAATTTTGTTTTTTATTAGAAATTAATAAAACCTAATCCATTTTTAAATGATAAAAAGCCTGTTGAATCAAATCTACTTTCATTTGTTAGTAGTGGCCTTGAATTTGATGCTGATGTTGTACAAAGAATCTGTCCATCAGCTATATCATTTACAAATTTTAATGGTCGATCATTATATGTTCCAAGTCGTGAAATAAGTAGTTCACCACGACCACCTCATCGTTTACAACCACTTGTTCCATTAACTATATCGAAAGCACGATGGGAACATGCACGTCGAGTTTTAGCACAAAAACCAATCGCAATTGAACCAGTAAAATTTCGACCGCAACAATCACTTTTTTATATGACTGAAATTGATGATAATGATGAACATATTCATGAATTTAAACAAGAAATTATAGATGATTATTCAACACCTACAACACGATCAGAATCATCTGAAGAAACAGATGAAAATACAAGTGGAATACGACGTGGTCATGATAATATTGAAAAACAAGCACGAATTCTAGCAGAAAAAGATTTTTCTCAAATGGAACGAAATTGGGATAAATATATGTTTGAACATATGGATGAAAATACAGCTAAATTTATTATTTTAAAACATGTTCATGATGGTAAGTAGATATTATTTGAATATAAATTTGCACGACTTATTTCGAGATTTAGCAAGCTGTATGATTCTTCTATTTAATGGAATAATTACAAAAACACAAATCTATTTTATAGAATCAAACAGAGAGGGAATAAAATTTTTATTTGATAGGATTTCTTCCGATGGTCACCGATCAAAACTAGATCATCGAATGAAAGAGATATTCACTTACAAGGGAAGTCCTCCAACTAATAAATTGCTTTTGAGTCAAGACTATGTACATTAGGCAGACTCAAATAAACTATGATTACCCTGAAAATAGTTCATTTCCTTAGGTTATTTCTGTGGAGATACTCCACTTTTACTGTATTTTTTTAAAATAAATGCAATAGTAACCGAAAAATTGATTTTCGAATTTCGACTTGAAAATTTGCATAGAAACAGATTTTAGCGAGAATAATTTTTGATGAACGTTTCAGATCTTGTTATTATTTCTATCCTAAGATACAACTATGATAAAAGTGTGTCTTTTATAGTTTTTCTGCTACCACGGCATTCATTTAAAAAAACATCGTAAAAGTTTAGTATCTTGGCAACAATAAGCTAAGGGTTCGAACTCTTTTCAGAATATTCATTGCTCATTTGAATCTGCATAATGCAAATAGTTTTAACACAAAAGTAATTTGTCAGTTGGAGGACTTTCCTTGTAAGTAAATTTTTTGGTTAAGAAAAGAATAAATATTAAATTTCGAAATCGATCTGGAAAGTTTTGTTTTATTTTAAATTTGAACGTTGCTAACGATTTCATGAACATTCTAATCTTTCTTAACATAGATTCTAATCTAAAAGCATTTATAATTTAAGACTAGATGTATTTGATTTAATTTACAGACGACCGTCGAGCTCGCTTAATTGAATATTTAAAAAAGACATATAACATAACAAAATTACCGAATCCACAAGAAATAGAATTGGTAAAACGATTGAATGAATTCGTATCTTGTTGTTTCTTTTTTTCTCTTTAATAATCATTTTTCTAGATTCCAACAACTGATGATCAAGAAAAAAATGCCGATGAACATGATTCAAAAAAGTCAGACAAGAAAATACTTATTAATATATTTACTAAACATTATTTTTCTATTTAGATTACAAAGTCAAATACTAGAAAAAGATGCTGATGTGCCTAAACGAGAAATTCCATTGTATCGTTTACCACGCGGTTTACGTCGACGAGCAAAAGAAGAGAAAAAAGAAGATGGTAAGATTATTTTACAAAAATCTAAATTTCCAAAAAAATCTATATTCTCTCTTCAATTAGCATCAGCACATATTCGTCCATCTCAACAAATAATTACTGAAAATACATTGATACGTCGTGAACCATCATTTTATGATATAATGTCAAATAAAATATTAAGTACAGTTTATCGAACAGATCATCCATATGAACAAGCAATGCTTCTTGGTAAAAGAAATATTAGTTTCACATATATGAACAAAAGGAAGATAATAAATAATATTTATTTAGGTAATAATATGCATAAACCAACAGATGAACCTGGTGTTATTGTTCTTTCGAATAAACTACAATTTGATAAGGTTCTTCAAAAACAACTTCCACCTGATCCTGATTCAATTGCTACAAGTAAAAAATTTTATTGTTAATATTACAATAATTAATCATTCACTTTTGATTTAGCTCTTCAAATTGATTCATCGGCTGCATTTGATCGACAAAAACCAGCACGAGGTTTTCGTCGTTGGAAAGCTTTACCTGCAGTCAAAGATACGGTATTTTTATCACGAAACATCGGTTTATCCTATTTGATTACTTTCTATATCCATTTCTAGCACAAATTACATGTCTTTTTTACACATAATCACATTTTTTTTGCACTAATTTTTAGACTCCTCACCTGCAAATGCCCATGTCAGATTATGAAATCAATAGAGCAGCAGCAATTCAAGCTTTTTTTGCTCAGGTTTTTTTGCTATTTCATGTGCTCTTAGTATTTCTTCTTTTGCTTGAACTAATTTTAATGTGAAAAATTAAAGTTAAACATATAAAAAAAAAAAAGAATTCTTTATTCATGTCTCTCTAGCATCCACCTCGACCACCTGATGTTAATGATTTATCACTTTCATGGCTTATGCCATCAACACCAGATGCTCGATTATATCAAATATTAAAATCAAATACAACTATTAGTCGAATTATTGAAGGTAAATAATTTTAGAATAAATTATAAGAAATATATTTTTTGTTGTTGTTATTTTTAAGAATGGAGACGTAAATGGCAAGTTGGAAGTCAATGGCTTGATGCTGATATTGAAGAATTATATCAAGATTTACATGATATTCATCCACATGTTTGTTTCTTTTTCTTTTGTATGATTGATAATTATAATATTGAAATTTTACTTTATTTAGGTTCGTTTTACTGCTATTGTTGTTTGTAGTCGAGCTGCTCAATATCTTACTCAAAAAGAAATAGGTATTGAAAACAATCAGCTTTAAATGCTATTTTAAAATAAAAAACCTTCTTGTTATTCTACAGATCTCGGTTTAAAAGTTCATCTTCTTCCTGAAAAATTACTTCAATCAATTGAGTCTTTACTTAATGATTCTCAAGAACATGTACGAACAGCTGCTGCTATTGCACTTGTTACATTACATCGTTTTTCTTCAAAAGTATTATTTTTAATAAAAACAAAGAAATTTTTTAATCAAAATATTTTGATTTGGTTTTAAGGTAGAAGATATTCTTCGTTCATGTGTTGCTAATGGTAATCCTGATGATAAATTAACAGCTGCACAATGTTTAGCAAGTCTTAATTACTCAACATCAGATGTAATACATGAATTATTAAAAAATTATTTTGATGCTGAAGATGAATTAACACGTGAACAACTTATTCTTGCATTAGCTAAATTAAGTCAACGAACGGTAAATAAAAATAAACAAACATTGAATCAAAATATTTTTTTCCTTTTTGTTTTTGTCTTTGATAGAATCTCGTACATAGTTTAACCGGTGAATATTTAAATTCTGCTGATTCTAGTGATCGAATAGTTGCTTGTAAACTATTTCCATTACTTAAATCTCGACCAAATAAAGTAAATAATTTAAGAAAAAATGTTTTTATTTTTAAATAAAATATTTTTTTTTAATAGGATATAACACAAAAATTAATTCATCTTATGTGGCAAGATATGAATAGTAGTGTACGTCGTGTAGCTGGTCAAGCATTAGGTAAATGTGGTTGTGGTCAAGCAGTACATGAAGAAGTTGTTTTACGTTTACAAAGTCAACATTGGCAAGATCGTGTTGAAGCACTTAAACTTATTGGTTATCTTGGTTTGTTTGTTTATTGAAATATTTATTTAATATATATATATATATTGTTTCTATTAATAAAAATATTTTCTCAGGTGTTTTAACAGCTAAATTAATGCAACCATTTTTAAAATGTTTTAAAGATGATCATGTTAGTGTACGTGATCATGCATGTCGTACAACATATAAATTACAATTACGTGATGAAACAATAAGAAATTTACTTATTGATCGTGTTGAATTTGATCCTATTGAAAAAGTTCGATATTCAGCTGTTGAAGGTAAATTTATTTTTCAAATATATATTTATCCATTTTATTTTTCTTAATAATATATTTAGCACTTGGTTTATATGGAATGACAAATGCAAAATGTCGAAGTGTTCTTTTATGGGCTGTTCGATATGATAAAAGCCCATTAGTACGAGCATCATCACCAAATGCTCTTGTTCTATTAGAAAAAGCAAGTGAAGATATTATTGATACATTACAAAGTCGATTTTTAGTTGAAAAAGAACCTATTGTTGTTCAGTAAGACAAGAAAAGAAAATTTTTCAATAAAAAATAAAAACAACTTTTTTCTCTATTATTAGATCATTAAAAGAAGCATTGGAAGCTTATCATTGTAATTTAAGTCAAGATGTTCCAATAGTACAAGAAATTCGAAATGAAGTTCGAAAATTAAATACAAAAAATACAATATTAGAAAAAATAATGAATCTAGAAAAAGATCTACGTTTAACAGCTGCTATGGAACGATTAATAGCACCATTAATAGATACAGTAAGTTGGCTTTGTTTAAAATCATATTTCATTTTTAGAAATAATTTTGATTTATATATGTGACAAGTGCGTTAAGGACTTCGTTGAGATCGGAATAACGTTTCGTAATTCTGCAATAAAAGATACCGTGATTGTGTTCTATAAAATAGATATTTCGGCAATATTTTTTATTTCTGGGACAGAAACATTGAATGATTGGTTAAAGTTTTTGAAAAAATGCTGTTTTCTTTTCAAGCGTTTATTCAGACGAGCTTGCAATTGATGTTAGTGATTTTTAAAATTAAGGATGAATTGCATCACATGTATGCCTTATGTTTATGATATTAGCATATATATAATGAATGGTTGTAAGCACTAATGAAATTAAAACTTAAATTTATAGTCTTAATATGGTTTATCATGTATATTTACTCTCTGTACATCTTGTACTAAAATAGTAAAAGAAAAAATTGAGAGAAAATATTAAACTTTTTTTATTTATTGTGTTTAATGTGATTTTAATTTGTGAACTCTTGTGTAAATTAATTAGTTCATCTTGTTTATAAATTAATTCGAGCGTTCTAAACTAAACTGAAATATATGTTCATGGGCACTGACATATAGCTAGAGCGGGATCGCAAAATATTTTTCAAGCGCATTGTTTTTCTGATGAAAAATTGAAGTAAAATCTATATGAAATTAGATATCACTCAGTTAATGTAAATCTTACTTTAATTTTCATTTCATATCAAAAATTTCGATTACTTTCAATGATCCTCAATAATTTGATAAATAAGAATATTCTATGATCATATAGACTATATGTACCTTGTTATGAAAATAATTAAAAAGCTTATTTTTTCTACATGCAGACGGTTTTTGCCAATTGAAAATAAACATATTTCGATTATTTCTAGCCACCTACACCATCACCTGGTGAAAACGAAATTAAATCAACTACGACTTTTACAAATTATATTAAAAATGTTGCCGATACTAATGCTAATGCTAATGATGTGCCTGAAGTGTGGTCACCAGAATTATGGCATTCCGATAGTAAAACTGGTAAAATCAGAAAACATCGACTTCCACATAACGAGGCACCATCTCAGGACGAACCAATCACAATGACAATAGAGCCTGAACAATCAAGTTATAGTCTTCAACCAGCTGTCTTATTACCTGTTGAAGAGGAAGAAAGTGAAACTGAGGAAGACAGTCAAGTTATACTTTCTTAAGTGTTTGTCAATAAAATTGTTTTTTTCTATATTCTTGATAAAAGAGAAAAATAAAACGGAGGCGGAGCTTAGTATTTTATTAATAAAATAAGACAACTCATAAGAATCGACTATTGCAGTCCAGAAAGAAAAATATGATACTATCCCCATCTGTGATTGTTCTACTATTTGCCGCTTTCATTACCTATCCATCTATTTGTAAGAGTTTGAAGTGCTATCAATGTTCGAGAAATAAATATTGTGGACACGGAGAAACTCATCATGTCGTTGATTGTGCTGGAAAATGTATGACCTATCAAAATGAAGATAATAATGGTAAGAAAAAATAAAATTAAAATATTTTAATTGATCCAAATGAAAGCGATTATAAAAATATTTCAAAAGGTACCATAGTAAGACGTTGTTGTTTGAATGATTGCAATAATAAAAATAAACACAAAGCATACTTTTGTTCGAACGATAGATGCAATGGTATTCATTCAGACCCGCAACTTTTAGGTAAAGTAGTTATTCATCATTTTTATTCTCAATAACAGAAATAATTTCAGCTATTAAAAAAGAAGAATCTCTAAAACAGATTCATTTAAGAACAGCATCAAAAGGGAAAAAGTCATCATTATATTGTTATGATTGTTCTGCGCATAATCCAGATTGTGCTGTTCATGAGGCAACACTAGTTTCAGGTTGCGAAACTTGTATGGTTTATCTTAATGCAAACGATGGCAGTGAGTGTATTTTTAAAACAATGAACTCAAATAGAAATTTCCTTCTTTATGAATATTAAGATAATGTTGTTCGACGATGTTGTAAATCAGGTTGTGGATCACCAGGTAATATCGGTGAATACGACGGACGAAAAGCATATTTTTGTTCATCAAATCAATGTAACGGAATTGGTACAGAAAAAGTGCTTACTGGCGAAGCAGGTAACTCATTGAACAGATGAACAAAATATGCATTGTTTCATTCAAGACCTAGATTCGATTAATGCCATGATTGCTACATTACCTCCCATGAAAACAACAATAACAACAACAATGACAACAACGGAAACTACTACTTCCACTACAATACAAACATCATTTCAATGCTATGAATGTTCAGGACCCGATTGCGGTAGAGAAGGTTCATCTGTCTCAGTCAACTGTCCACGCTGTATGGTATACCGCAACCCTAATGATCAAAGTAAGTGATTACAAAGAAAATCAAAATATATTCTTGTACGAGTAAAATAAACAGCCATAATTGAACGTCGTTGTTGTTGGTGGGCATGTGGATCTCCAAACTCAGTTAGCAGCTATAATGGCTTAGAAACATATTTTTGTGCTGCTGATAAATGTAATGGATATGGTGCAGAATCCGCCTTGAGTCCTCCAGGTAGAAACAACAACAAAAAAATAAATTGATAATTTTTCCGTTTTCTTTTCATACTAGTGACAACAACTACAACAACAACAATTACTACGACTACTACTGCACCTCCAAAAACATCGTTTGAATGCTATGAATGCTCCGGACCAGAGTGTGGTAAACAAGGTTCACCTGTATCAAACAATTGTCCCAGATGTATGGTATATCGAAATCCAAATGATCAAAGTAAGCGATTAGTAATAATCAAAAGATTTTTTTTATGAATAAACAAAAACAGCCATAATCGAACGTCGTTGTTGTTGGTGGTCATGTGGGTCTCCGAACTCTGTTAGCAGCTATAATGGCTTAGAAACTTATTTTTGTGCTGCTGATAAATGCAACGAATATGGTGCAGAATCTGCCTTGAGTCCTCCAGGTAGAAAAAGCAACCAAAAGACAAATAAATCGATCAATTTTTCATTTTTCGACACTAGTAACAACAACAACGACAACAACTGTTACTACGACTACTACTGCACCTCCAAAAACATCGTTTGAATGCTATGAATGTTCCGGGCCAGATTGTGGTAAGCAAGGTTTATCTGTATCAAACAATTGTCCTAGATGTATGGTATATCGAAATCCAAATGATCAAAGTAAGCGATTAGTAATAATCAAAAGATATTCTGTTATCAGCAAAGTAAACAGCAATAATTGAACGACGTTGTTGTTGGTGGTCATGTGGATCTCCAAACTCTGTTAGTAACTATAATGGCTTAGAAACATATTTTTGTGGTGCTGACAAATGTAATGGAGACGGCGCAGAATCCGCCCTAAGTCCTCCAGGTAGAAACAACAGGAAAAAAATGAGTTAATAGATTTTTCATTATGTTTTGATACTAGTGACAACAACTACAACAACAATAATTACTACGACAACTACTTCACCTCCAAAAACATCATTTCAATGTTATGAATGCTCAGGATCGAATTGCGGTAGAGAAGGTTCATCGCTGTCAAGCAATTGTCCGAGCTGTATGGTATACCGAAATCCAAATGACCAAAGTAAGTGATTAGAAAAAAAAATCAAAAAATCTTCTTTTATGCACAAAATAAACAGCAATAATTGAAAGACGTTGTTGTTGGTGGTCATGTGGATCTCCAAACTCTGTTAGTAATTATGATGGCCTAGAGACATATTTCTGTACTGCTGATAAATGTAATGGTTACGGTGCAGAATCCGCTCTACGTCCTCCAGGTAGGAAAAACAAAAAAGAAATAAGGTAAGAAATTTTTCGTTTTTCAATACCAGTGACAACAACTACGACAACAGTAAGGACAACCACAACAACTACCGCAACAACAACCACAATGACAACAACAATAACCACAATGACAACAACAACAACTATATCGACAACGACAACCACTACTACAGCTCCGAAGACATCGTTTCAATGCTATGATTGTTCAGGGCCGAGTTGTGGTAGAGAAGGTTCATCTATATCAAATAATTGTCCGAGCTGTATGGTATACCGAAATCCTAATGATCAAAGTAAATGAGTAGAAAAATTGATCAGATATTCTTTTATGAATAAGATGAATAGTGATAATCGAACGACGTTGTTGTTGGTGGGGTTGTGGACCTTCGAATTCTATTGGTAGTCATAATGGTTTGGAAACATATTTCTGTGCTGCTGATAAATGTAATGGCTTGGGCACCGAATTCGCCCTCAGTCCTCCAGGTAGATATAAGAAAAAAATACAGTAGATAGGTTTTTCGTTTTTCGCTACCAGTGACAACAACTACGACAACAGCGAGGACAACAACAACAACTACAGTAACAACAACTACGGTAACAACAAGCACCATGACAACAACAACAACTATATCGACAACGGCGACCACTACTACAGCTCCGAAGACATCGTTTCAATGCTATGATTGTTCAGGGCCGAGTTGTGGTAGAGAAGGTTCATCTATATCAAATAATTGTCCGAGCTGTATGGTATACCGAAATCCTAATGATCAAAGTAAATGATTAAAAAAATTTGTTCAGATATTCTTTTATGAATAAGATAAATAGTGATAATCGAACGACGTTGTTGTTGGTGGGGTTGTGGACCTTCGAATTCTATTGGTAGCCATAACGGTCTGGAAACATATTTCTGTGCTGCTGATAAATGTAATGGTTTGGGCACCGAATTCGCCCTCAGTCCTCCAAGTAGAAATAAGAAAAAGATTAATTGATATATTTTTTTCTGTTATTTGTACTAGTGACGACAACAGCTGCTACTACAACGACTGGTTCGACTAGTATGACCTCTTGTTATAGCTGAAAATATATCGTCTATTTAAATTTTTGAAATTTTGCTTCTCTAGTAATTACAACAACATCATCTTCGCCGGCTAGTTGTGTTCTTAATTGTCAAAATGGTAGTACACCAGAAACTGAAGATGGCTGCTTTTGCTATTGTTTAGAGAATACTAACGGTCGTGAATGTGAAAATGGTATAGTTAATTGTTCTGTTCTTATCAAATATCTCTCTTTGTTTGTATTCCTTAGTTGATTGCGCTCAACCGGATGTTAATTCTGAAATCTGCAGTATTGAAAATCAACAATTATGTGAAGAAAGTGAAACCTTTGCTTTTGAATGCCTTCATTTATGTGGAAAATGTTAAAATTATTTTATTAAATCATTTAATTTATATAAATATATATGTTCGATGGGTTTTTTTTCTTTAACGATAAGTAATAGGTGTTGGTTGTTGCTGCTGTTGAGTTAAATCGTTTTGTTCTATTGTGTCATAAGGATTTGAGAATAAATATTTATCAGGTCGAAGATTATCTTGATCATCGAATCCAGCTAGAATTTGTTTGGGATAATGATGCTTTAGAGCAGTAACTAAAGCACGTCGATTACCAAAACCACGCTGATAACGTCGAAGTTCATCAGGATTATTATTGATAGCACACATTTGAACGATGATAAAAAGTGATGTACCAACGATAAGCATCAAGAATAAATGTTGCTGAGACATAATGGATACAATGAATGATAAGAGAAAGAAATGAATGACTAAACTGTTTCTTTTGATTTATTTAAATAGTAGACCACAGTTCATGAATGTAATTATTGAGTGCTAATGATATTCTCAATAGACTATGCCAATCAAGATTATATGTCCGCCTACACTATTATCTTAGATATTCCCGTAAGAATTCAGATTAAGAAAATAAATATACCCTTTACGATATAAGCAATAAGATAGAAAGCTTCATTTCGATTCAGATTTGTGTCATTTCCTGAAATGCCTATATGAAGAATAATTCTTCCTTTTATTTTTTGTGAAATTTCTCTAATCAAATGGAATATTTTTCTATACATATCTGCTATATATTTTCAAAGTAAATAATGAAAAGTTCGCATGATAAATGCACCAAGGTATCAATGTGTAAATCACTTGATAAAAATAATCCCTTTAATACCTTGAAGACAACACTACGCATTGAAGTTATTTTCATATAATATTCTTGATATTTATTTAAAAACAGAAACATACAAAAAAATAACGTTTTTAACTCAACGATTCCATAAAAATTTTGTTTTTGTTGAAAAAGAAACTGTTCTTATTTCATTTACTTGATTTAATATGTACATTACTAACTTGAACACACCCTTTTGCTCCCGAGGATGTTTGTATATCAACTTGTCCTTGATAATTTCCAACAAGTGCCCATGAATCAACATAAATTGTAATTGGTATAGTTAACGTATGATCACCCTAAAATACATGTTCAATTCTTTAAAGAAACTTGTTTTTTTTTTCATACTAACTACTGTCAATGGACAACCACATTGCGGACAAATTGTACAAAGATCATCATAGATACATGAGCCAATACCACTAATACAAGGAAGAGAAACATAGCTGAATAATATTTTTCTATGTAATGCCAATTGTGCCTGTATTGCCATGACAATTATGAAATTATTATAGAAAGATTATAAGAAACGACAAACTTTTATTGGACTTGTTAAATTTTGATTAGTATGAACAGAAATATCTATAGAAATAGATCCAGGTATTACTATTGGATATGGATTCACTGAAACATTGAGTAATGTAATAGAATTTGAGTTACTATCACAATTCTTCCATGATATTTGACTGGCTACTAACGTCTAAAAATGTAATTTAAAAAAAAAAAATTTACAGATTATATTCTATTTTATCAATTTTACCAATTGAAGAAAAACAATGCATAGAGATGAAATCATTTCAATATAGGTCGTCAAGTTAAAAAACTGTTTTAATCTAAAAAATAGCACATGTACAAGAAAAGGAAAAAAGCCCAGACGATTACTTAATTATCTATTAGTCTAATACAAAAATAAAACATGAATACTGAAGGATACCTATTGCCTTTCTACACCATTCATATAGATACATATCTGAGTATATTTTGACAAACAAAAAAATAGCATTCTTTGTACAGGTGTGTTGTTTATGGCTTTTTTTCTTTTTGCAAAAAATGAAGCAGTGCAATGACGTCTAACCAACGCAAAAAGCAAACATGACAGCATCAACGTGATTTACTCACAATCTTTAGAAAAAGATTCAGAAAGAAAAAAAGTAATAAGAATCAGAGTTTTACAATCAAATAAATTTTTTTCTTTTTCTTAAAGATGAAAATAAAATAAATATGAACTTTTTTCCAACAATAAAAAACAAGCTGAAGATTACCATAAGAATATCGAATGAGTAAATCAGTACATTATCTCGTTGCTCATGGCGTATTTCAATTACAATTACATTACAGAAAAAGGCATGAAAAATTTTGCCTTATGTCAATATCGATATAGTATAAGTGTAAACTAAAGGTGCAAGATGAAAGAAAACGTTTGAGTCATGTGTTCGAACTGTGAAACTACGTTGCACATCATTTTTTTAAGAATCATTTGCGTGCCATGGTGAAATTTTAGTTTCCTCGATCCGAAAGTAAATCGATACTCGAATAAGCTTTGTTGTTCTTTCTGTATTTTATTAAATTTATAAAAAGCAACTGTATCTGTTTTTTTTTTGGTATGGAGACTCGCACTGATCCCGTTGTTTTTAACAGACTGAATGATTACTAGTATTCTTCATTGTTTCTACGGTCGCTAATAATAAAACCCAATCGATCAACAATGTATTTGACTACTTACTTTCTATTCACAACCTACAATATTTATTGTAAGATTTGAAAAAGTATGTAAATCAAATTCAAATATCTTACATTGGAATGATAACAGGAGAAAAACAATTAAACAAAATTCTCCATAAAAGAAGGAAGGAAAGAAATCGTTTACGCATTGAAGCATGACAACAGAACGAAAGAAAATATAAATGAAACTATTTATATACTAAGGTGTATTATAAAAATATTATTGAAAGAAGAAAAGCATACAAATTGTATTATTATTGGAGAATATAGAAATTGGATAATTTAGGTATGGTTGTTGTGAAAAACATAATAAACCGATGATAGGTGATAATTTTACTATTTTCTATCATCAAACAATCGTACTATTCGGTTTGAATAACAAAAACTGCATGACATGTGCTCGTTTAACAAGAGAATATTATCTATAAGATAATTTCTCTTCAATAAATTCACAAACGATAAGAATACATGCTGGAGAATTTTCTTTTAAACATTGATTCAATGTATCAGATACAAATCTATTTCGATGTTTCAATTGGACTTTGAAACCAATTATTAGGCTAATCTTAGAGATGCAATTTGAATGAGTGCAAAAAATAAAAGAATTAGAAGATGAAAATTGATATTTCACGATTTTAATCTCGCACTTATAAAATCGAACTGTCTATATTGAAAATGCAGTTGGATTACATAAAATGCAGTGGACCTGGTATACCAATTTACTCTTGTGGCTAATAGTAGCGAATTCATGTTTAGCACAACAAACTGCAGACACGGCTGCTAATCAAAAAACAAAACAAATTCTTAAATATATAACTGCATTGCCAAGTCAAGGTTGATAATACCCGAATAACTATGTTGGAGAGTTTTTTGTTCTTTATTTATAGGCAAAGTTCTTTCTGGTCAATTTGCTGGTTATAGCCCTGATACATTTAATATTAATCAAATAGATGAAATTGCTAGACTAACAGGCCAAACACCAGCTATTCTTGGTTGTGACTATGCATGTGGTTGGAATTATAAAACACCACCACAATTTATTATTGATTATTCATGTAATCCATCATTAAAAGATCATTGGAATAAAGGTGGTCTAGTTACCATAAATATGCATTTACCAAATCCAGTATCACTTAATGGTGGCGGTTATAAAGATCGAATGAATTTAAATTTTGTTCATTTAATTAATTCAAATACAGATACTGGAAAACGATGGATTCTATTTCTTGATCGTATGGCACAAGGTTTAGATGATCTACAACGAGCAGGAGTAACTGTTTTATTTCGGCCGTTGCATGAAATGAATGGAGATTGGTTTTATTGGTGTAATCAGGTACCACAAAAAAAATGTTTGTTCTCCTTGAAATTGACTATTGTATACTTTTATAGGATTCAGAAGTATTTAAAAATGTATGGAGACATATGTTCAATTATTTGACAAATACAAAACAATTACATAATATTCTTTGGGTTTATTCACCTGATCAGAGTCGAGCAAGTCCATCAAGATATTATCCAGGAGATTCTTATGTTGATATTGTTGCACTTGATGTTTACACTGATGATCCAGTAAGAAAAAATTTTTAACATATTATAATGATACATATTTTTGTAGAACTCTATGAATGGCTATAATGAAATGTTAAATTTAAATAAACCATTTGCACTCGGTGAAGTTGGTCCAAGTACAACTAATGGTCAATTTGATTATAATAGATGGTAGGTTTTGAGTTTTAAATTATTTTGAATATTGCAGATCATGAATTTGAAAGGATAACGGCAATACAATCGAAATTTCCTCGAGTTGCTTATTTCTTAGCATGGAATGATGGTTGGTCACCAATAAGAAACCAAAATGCTTATAATTTTTTCAATCATCAACGCGTCATTAATCGTGGTAAAATTAATTTAGGTGGTGAAACCATACCTTCAGGAAGTACAATTCTTTACAATTTTTCCAATGGTGTTGGCGATTGGAGAGGATCAAATATCATAGGAGGTCCGTGGCAAACAAATGAATTTGTTTTCCAATCAACAAATAGTCTTAAAATGGATATACAATTAACTCAAGGTGGTCGTTATACACTCTATACTCAACAACAATCAACTATTAAAGTTAGTGGACGCAAAAAACTGACTGCTCAAGCACGTGTGGCTTCATGGGGTTTAGCTAATAATAGTATAATAACTGCAAAACTTTACATAAAAGCCGGATCATCTTGGAAATGGTATGACTCAGGTTCATTTCAATTAAAAAGTAACACAGCTACAGCAATTACACTCAATTTAAGTCAAATTCCAATAGCAGAATTGAGTGATGTAAGAGAAATTGGCATGGAATACACATCAAATGCAAATGGTGGACAGACATCTGTTTATTTATCGTATATCACTGTAGAATGAAAAAATTAATAAAGAAAAGTTTTGGTAGAGTGTCGATTAAATTCGACATTAGATTGAAATCAATGTCTTGTATTCATACACTGTAAACTCATGTAGATCAAGTTCAATAGATAAAACTCTAAAACCGTGATTCAATCAATACTTGTCAAGAATATGTTTACTTTATAGTTTCATTATCTTTTTTCTTATTGATATTGAACATGTTATTATAGAAAAGTGAAAAAGTAGTCGTCAGACTCTGTTATAGACTGAAAACAATAATGTTTGCCTGTCTTGATTGCAAACAGAGAAACATGTCAGCAGTTGCCTTCCATTACCAACAGTTTGTTTCAACTATTGAATGATTAAAAATGTCAATGATCGTGCATGGATAGCCTATATTTTATTTTTGAGTCATGCAATAACATTAAAGATGGATTTTAACCAAATAGGTCTATATGCATTGTCCGCTCATGCTATGTAACATGAAACAGTTTGTTTGTCAATTTTGTGTGTGTGAGCGTTGGTGTCTTGGTGTAGGTATGTGGGTTCAGGTGTTGGTCAGGATCAAGAAGAAAAAGCGAGACTTCAAGAGTGCGTACTTCACTCGTACGTCAAAAAACTGAAGTCTCGTTTTTGCTTCCTTATAGAGAATACACCCAAAATAAAAATGATTTTACTTTCATGTAATCCTTGAACAACTCAATGACTCTCAATATTAATTGTCAAGTGAATGGAATAAATGTCCATGGTTATTGCCCGAATTATAATCAATCATTCATTGCATCATATTCCAAATGTAGATAAGTTCTAATTTCTTATTTCAGTGTATACCACATCAATGAATAGAAGCATTGGAGTGCGGCAGATTGTGATAAGTTTATTAATTTACCACAGCATCTCTTCTGAAAAACGATAACTCAAATGTCTGGTTTCATGATCCACAAAATAAATGGATAAGTATCTCGTCAACGTCATTTATTAATCGTGTATTATTGATTAGCTCATCGATTCGAAGTATTTATTTGGATATGAGTGAAAATAAATGAATAAAGTCATTGCTGAATAATGATTCATTTACCATCGGATTTGTGATCACTTACATGAACCGTATACTTTAGCAGGAAATTCCTGACGTCGACGAATAAAACTCCAATCATGATTATTCGTGAGTTATGCATCTTCAATCAACATTGCTTTTTGGTAATCCTCTGTTTCGAAATGAGAGCGTTAGATGAACATGGCATTGATGAAAATAAGTTATTTGAAATGTAATGCTCACGAATTTGACAGGTCATCAACTTTTATTCGAATATTTAAAAAAAAAATGAACGAAACCTTCGTTTGCATTGTTCTACTATGGTATGAACCATCATTGGCGCAGTAACTTGAATTCTATTCGTTGATAAGAACAAAATAAATGAACACGGTCATGTTGACAATCATTCGGGTTCTATATACTCATCAAAAAGTAAACTTTGCTTTGAGTTTGAGAGTAACATAAAAACATAGATGAATAAAAAGATTAGGATCTGATTGTTCATTTAATATCATGGAACTTTTATCATTTGGGAAAGTTGAAGGTTACGTTTCCGAGAAATCATTATAGTAGAATGTAGCATCCGTTCTTTTTATTTGTTCTTCGTGTGACATTCAATCGATTAGCTGAATTTCTATTGATTCAATGAACACTTTCGATCAACGCACATAGTTTGTTTCAACATGAGTGAACAAAACATTCATCCAGATGATTCATTTAACATGTGGCGATAAATTAGTTTAATAATTTCAAATATTTTTTTCTCGAGTGAAATAGGCGAACAATAGAATAATCATTATTGTTCACTTGTCACATGATATGGAATCATGCCACAAACTCTACAGCACTGTAAAAAGGTTTGTAAAATTGATGAACAGATAACTGGTTCAGAATATTTGGCTACTATGAAATCTTCAAGCTACTGTTGAATATACAAGCTTAACTTTAGCATCTTGAAGAATAATCGATCGGAATCTTACAAGGTGTCATTTTACGTTATTCCACAATGATACCATCATTTCTGAGAGATGCAATGTTTGTAATGTGAGAATTCGAAATCTGGATAAAACCTTGACTCACTATTTTACGCTAGCATGTATAGGACTAAGCAAAATGAAAACAGTTAGAGGAATTTTTCAAGATTGATGATTCAATCGATGGGTAATGTTAACATTAAAAAAAAAATCAGTAGAATACATCGATCGAACAATATGGTTGAACTGAAAGAACAAATGTTCTAGTGTAAAAAAGATTTCCACTGAAGCCTTGAATATCGTTAACGAAAAATTCAAATGAACCATTCATTCGTCGAGATTTTCAAGATCAGTACACTTAGGAGCCATTACATGAAAGTCACGACCAATCGTGCACAATCAATCTATCCATTTCGATGTAACTTTGCCTATATGTAGCCCTAAGTGAGATATAAAAACGTCCAAAATTTCAGCTTCTCAAACCGTTCTCTTCTCGAGACATTGCAATCACAATAGAGGCACCCTTAGGTAAAAAATGACAATAATCAATGTAGTATCTATATATTGTATATTTCGCCATTATTCAACAACAATGTTTTTAGCCTTGAGATTTTGTGGATATATACTACCGTGGGTACCCTACATACTGTCATACTCAAAACTACTTCTCCACTCGTTAGGTGGTATAGAGGTATTTCATAGGTTTTCGATATGCTCTCCACATTGTGATTAGGATTTCTGTCGCTTATGAGCGAGTTATGAGCTGTCGCTTTGGAACTAAGTGCTACTACCCCTCAACTATTCATAAAAATTTCTAAAGCCTTAGGTATTTGATTTTGACCAGAACAGAAATCTTTTCTATTATATATAAAGGCTACTTTGGGTAAAATTGGGGTCCATTTCTCGAAAAGTCGGCAAGTAGAGATCAGCAGATTCTACTCAGTTCAATGATATGTTGTAGAGCGAAGAGTTTTTAGAATTTTGACGCAAACCGTTTCAAAAAATATTGCTCCTTTATGAAGATATTCAAATTTTTCTAAGAGCACTGTCATCATGAAACAATCACATTATTAATGATTTGCATTGTCTGATCTCCCCAGACATGGAACGTNTCGTGTATAGCTTCTAACCATAGGTACGCAGCATGAAGGAAGACGATTCTTCAAGCCCACTGTTAATAACACTAACATCCCTACCACCAGATCTATATATCATGAATGACCTAATCTCCGACACCGATGGACTACAAATAAACCTTTCCAAAATGAAAATTCCTATCAACGGATAACGAATATTCCTGTGCGCAGCACCACTCATGAAAATTCAAAAAACATTCATCATCAAAAAAACATTCCTTCATTACTTTCCCAAAATCTGAAAACCGAACTCAAAAACCATTTGCCTTTACACCAAACATGACCATAGGGATACCAAACCACACAGAGCTACCCTCCAACACCATGCTGCCACCTTCAAGATATAGGACAAAACAGATATTCTTCCTTCGTTCTTACCCATGAAATTCTACCACTTCGAACTGAGTAAACTTTCTCGTAACATACATTCCATAAAACACCGAAAACAGCATGCACAGAAAAACCGTAGAAAGATCAAATTGAATCTGCTCTTAGACCAGTATTTCCGGGAAATCCCGTGATTTTTGCCCCATCACACAACCTCAAAACAGCGCCATCGAAAAGAGAATTCAATTCTGCATCCAACACACTCAACGAGAGAGCTAACACAAATGGCAGAGCGAATCCGAACAAGAAATACATAATATCGGGTGTTGTTACACAGGTAATAAGGCAGTATTTCTGGGAAAGTGATGGATTTTTGCCCGATGATCCTGGTTGAAACCGGTACCGTTCGATAGAGCTCAAAATTCTGCACCTAACACAAGTGTCTAGAGAGGTAACACAGGTAAGAAAGCGAATTGGTCCAAGAAATACGCCAATCTGGGGCTAACTTTACTTACGTTGCGTAATATCCCTGTTATTTGAACCAAATAAAAACCGTAGATCAATCCTCTAAACTGTTCCGTACAATGTGTGTTAGACCCGACAGTAGTTTGATACTTAAATGGTTGCCTATTCTCCGACCACCATTTTATCGCAGTGTACTGATAGTTGTTTTCTGATAGGTAATCTACTGTCGACATACCGACGATCATGCGAATAAACATGCAAAGTGGATAATAATGCAGCGACAAAAATGACACACAGTAAATAGCTGCTATTTTTCTCAAAATTAATTCGAAAAAAAATTTTAAATAAACTTTAAAAAAAACTTTTTTAATATTTTTACTCATACAGTATTTTCTTACAATCAATATAAACTGAGCGCTATTTCCGTTGAATGGTAGCTAGATATTACGCATCCAATACATATCTTCAATATCACTCCACCTTTAGACATTGCATAAATAGAAAAAATGAATAAAAAATGGTATGAACACTTATAAAATATCCTTTATATATATTTGTATTGATAAAAGTCCATCTGAGAAAGAAACAACTGATTTTAAAATCATTACAGTTAATGGAAGTCAATAGAATCAGTTCAAGTTAGCGAATTTTCATGAAATGAAAACTACTATTTTTATAATTAGATGAGAATTTACTAGTGATTGTTGGTTTGTCTAAAATATTGATTTTCTCATGAACATACATCTTTATCGATTTCTTATGTGCCATAATTTATCATTATGTCTCAGGCAAGTTCACGAATGTTCATTGATTACTTACGCGATTGATCTATTGGTTGTGAATTTATTTTGATTATAAAAAAGAATACTAATTTTGGATAAAATAAAAATGAATTCGACTAAGAGAATTCGTCTATCAGCGATTTATATCTACAGAAAATATGATGAAGTTCATTCCATATATATATAGTATCCAATCATTAGTACTCATAAAGTTCATCAACTATCAACCTATTAATGAAATAAGAACGATGGAATAATGGTATATTCGGCTATACTGTTATGTTTGACTGTAAACTTG